TTCAACATCGCACAAATAACTAAGCATTACTACCGCTATTTCGGACTAATGGATTTTCTCCGATACGACATATATACTTCAAAATTGTGTTATTTGTAAGTTAGAAAGGTCATTTAATGAAGGTCAAAATGATTTGGAAGTATCCAGTCACGATCAGTATAATAGTAATATAGGAAAATGAAAATGCAAAAAAAATTGTGTGAATAAAATTCATAGTAGGAGAAATTCATCTTATTAATTGAGATAATAATGATAAATAGTAATAATAATAAGGTTATTGTGTGGATATAATACGTAATAAGAGGGGTGTTATCAAGGTAGTTACAATAAACGAATTGGGAATGATGAGTGTGAAGATTAAGATAGATGTGATAAAAAAGGGGGGAGAGGTTTATATTATTCAGTTTAGGTATCTGGTGATCCAGTCACAGGCCAAGGTAAATGACAAAATTTGTACATGGAAACAATAAAAAGTAGTAAAATGTTCATTATGAAATATAAACATTTTTAATGTTATCATAAACATAAATTTATTGACAGTTCTAAATCAAATCAAGACAATTATCGAATACTGGACTAATTATTCATTACCCAATGTTAATTTGTAACAGAAGTAGAAATGATCAAATAATATCAATCATCAAAATAATACAGATGAAATACAGACAAAAACAGTGTATAAAAAATAATTATAAGCAAAGATGGATAGTGGTTAGCAATGGAATCCAATTGTCCTATTTAGGACTCATCAGATGGATGTACTTGCATCTCAGAGTTGATGTTCACTCTGGAACTCGAACCTAGTAACTTTCGATTTAAACGTCATCGCATTATCCACTCAGTTACTGAGTGTATTTATTTTATATTTTATAATTTATTGATTAATTTGCAAAACTCTAAATGAGAACTGTTTAAATACACCCCCTCATATAAAAAAATAAATGATGTGTATATTCCTTTAACAAGTTGACAACATATTCAATTATTCATGTTTAAACATCATGAGTACACAAAAAAAGGTAAATATAATTAGTTACTGACTAAGAAAAAGAAGAAACATTTTCAAGAAAAAAACATCCCAATTATTTACTTTTCTTTTATATAAAAGATAACAATACAGAGTTAATTGAATTATTTATCTATGATCATGTCATTAATAGAGTATATTATCAAAAGAATATATATATACATTTACTAAAGAGGGACTTAAGAATACGTTAGGTATCTAAAACCATCCTCTTAACTTAACCATATTCAAATGAGAGATTTATGAACTATATTAATGAACAGTAAAGATGACTATCAATTATTTGTATACAACTTACCAGTTTATTAATTATACATAAATGGGGGGTCTAAATTAAACTGTCGACTTTGTTGCTATTTACTTTTTTGTGTATATAAATTAATCGGTTTAAACTAATAGTTAACTTTAAAATATGAGATAATTATAGGCAAAATAAACAAATCATTCATTCATTAATTATTGAAATGAAATACTAAATCATCTACATGGGAACCAATATACGTATATCCATATTTAATACATCAAACATATATGTCGCTTTAATGATATAAACAAATGAAAAAAACGATCAGTGTTTACGTATATTTGATCCTTCTGATCAAGTTGTACAAAATAAAAACATCAAGATTTATGGTATAAAGTAAATTTATATTCTAATTTAAAGTTATTCACTAGTTCTAATACGGTTTAAAATTATAATGAGATTAGAAATGAAAGGTTTGGTATAATTTGACTAATGAAGTAGGGTAAAATTCTGGAAATGAGGCATATAATCATCATAAAGCGAAGGGTGATTCAAAATTAAATAGTAAACAAAACTGATGCTTAAAGTAAGAGGGATGAATATATGGGTAACAATAATAATTATGAAAATAAGTAGTTTTGTACTCGAAGTTTCATTGTATGAATTAACTTTAATCAAATAACCATCAGAAAGGATTGACTAATTATTTTATCTGGGAATGGGACTAAGTGGCAGTGTACACCTACTATGCTATCAACAATTGAAATCAAGATTTTAGCTATAGAACTAAGTGATTAATCTTTAGACCCTTGATTTAACATTCAATGGTTTACATTTCCAACTTCATGAGATTCGCGATAATGGTTGACCATCTTATGAACCTAACTCAGTTCCTGAGTGACTAGACTCCACGACGCATGTTTTCTCACTAGGTTTTATGAAATTACCTCTCAATGTTGGTCATAACTAGTTTTCAATGATTGGTTAACAAAAGTCACTCTGTGATATGAAATGAAATTCAAAGATCTTCACAACGCTCTATAATTACAATTTCATATTCGTCATATAAAACAATATGGACACATGACTAATCAAAACCATTGAGCCCAACATTAGTTGTAAATAAAGAAAAGAAAATAAGTGACATTTTGCAATGGATGAAATTATCTGTGTTCATCTTTTACCACAAATCTTGCTATTCACGCTTTGTTTAGAAACCAGTCAGTATTATAAGTTTTTATTTATTTATTTATTTAAACACATAAATATTGGTACAAGGAAGCACCAGATACATATGCGACTCACAAATCTCATTCGATTTGTGTGAGGGCTGTGATACTGCTCAGGTGCCCAGACTGAAGCAGGTGGTTTTCTTAGGGGGCCACACCCGGAGCCTTTGACCTAAAGGTCTAGTCCACAAAGCAGTGGAGCATCGTGAGGAGATGCAGTCCCATGGTAGCCGGTGATCAACAGTTGGTTCATACGCCATTCGTTCCCTCAGGATACTGGAGCCCATGTGCACCGTTGGTTTGGAATCAGGGTTTTCCAACTCCACTAGGTGGATCCTCCACATCCACCAACCCTGTTAAAGCGCCGGACATTCGCTTTTCGTCCTCTCACTTTTGTGAACAACACCCTTGCCACGAGAAGGCAGTGAGTAGGACTTCCTTGGCAGAGGCTATATATTCGCGTGGCAATATGAGAGCATTTCAAGAGGGAGAGCAGACTCTCCCTATTCTCGGCCGCACCAGGTCATTTGGGGGGTATTACAAGTAATGATGTAAAACCTTCGAAAATTTCTACAGCATGATAGACTGTTTTATCTGAATTGAATTTTGAATAGTTGATAGTCATGAGGTAAATGATTTTATATGTTTGAACAGATATTTAAGGCAACATGAAACGAATATAACACAAATATTTTAATAATACCATTTTTATTTGAATGACAATCTTAGAGATTAAACGAAGCTTATTTATACAGATAAATATCTTGAGTGGTTACAGATAATAAGCAATGAGTTCTCGGCTTATCTCTTGCGTTAATTTGTACTCATCATTAGGATATGCTCATAGAATTCAAGCCTGTAACACACATTTACATCAACATAGAGATTACCACTACGTTATTTGATCTACGACAGAAGTAAAGATATTTATATACATTTTCTGTCTGATATTAACCAATGTTATTTTGTCAAATACATAGTGTTGATCAGAATTTATCATTCATTAAGAAAAATACGATAGCACACTGAAGTGTGAAAATCTAAACAAAATTAAGAAGCAAATCCATACAAGTCATTGATCAGAGATACAATATACCTGTAAAATTTATATATATATTCCGTATATACTCATTCTGATGACAATATACACAATATAAACTGCAAAACGAGACTTTTATTCGAGTAACTAGCATGTATACTTCAAATTAATGTATATTTATTTACATGAATAGACTATTTAATCTGCAGGTTACTTTAGTTTGTATTTATATCTTGTTATTATGAATTTTTATGATCCAAAGTGATCTTCCTCAACAGTATTGATTTCATTTGATAATATAGTTGAAATCATGAGTCAATCGAAGCTAGAACACCATGGAAAACATGAAAGCATTGGACAGCCGTTTCGTCCTATTGTGGGACTCCTAAGCAGTGCGCATCCACGATCCCGCCTCGCGAGAATCGAATCCAAGACCTACCAGTCTCGCGCGCAGGCGCTTAACTCTTAGGCCAATGAGGCGGTATCCAATGGTGTTAATGTCTAACTGCTGAGGAGTCCCACAATAGGACGAAACGGCCGTCCAGTGCTTCCAGGTTTTCCATGATGGTCTAGCTTCAATTGACTCATGATTCCAACTATATAAAATCACTAAAATCTTCACAAAACTCCCTTCTGAACATAAAATAGCAAAGAAACTGGAAAAACAATAACAATTATTATTGTTATAAATCGATAATCAAATAAATATCTTCATCATTCTTTGTTGAATAGATTATCACTTGTCAATCAACAAACAGAATTGATATCAACGACTATCACTTATAATCATAACATAGTTCTACTTAATTTGATTGATTACAAATTACATATCAAGTAAAAATTGTTTCATTAAAAAACGTTCGTTCAGTGATTTCATATTTTCCATGGTGATCTAGCTTCAACTGATTCATGATCTCATCTATTTAAATTACTATAAGATCTACAAAACCCCTTCTGATATTAAAATTATATATATTTAGTTATCACCAAGAAATATAACTATTTTGATAGTTGAGACCAATTGAAGTCAATTGAAGCTATACCACCATTGAAAACCAGGTCTGTTGTGAGATAGTAACTCACGGAAGATAATAGTGGATGTGTTGCTCAATTTCGTGAATCTGTTGAAGTTAGACATTTACACCGTTAGATGCCGGCTTAGTGGTCTAATAGTCAGGCGCTCACGCACGAAACTGATAGGTCCTGGGTTCAAATCTCTCGAAGCGAGATCGTGGATGCACACTGCTTAGGAGTCCCATAATAGGACAAAACGGCCGTCCAATGCTTCCAGGTTCTCCATGATGATCTAGCTTCAATTGACATATGATCTCAATTATCACATTTACTATAATATTCACAAAACCCCCTCCTAAAAATATAACTATTGTCTAGTCAGTATAAAATTCAACATTAAAAATTACATAAGTTAAAGAAAGAATACAGATATTGATTTGAACTTACATTATTGTTTTTTTCTAAACAAAAATTTGTTTAGTTATTCGTTTTACTGAATAAAAGAAAACGTCTTCTTTTTTTAAAAAAAAAGAAAGCACAAATTCTTTTTTGGGGGGTTGTGTGTGTGTTGTTGTTGTAATTCACACTTATCTTCTACTTGGTAATATATGTAAATGATAATTTGATTGAAAACTTGAAAAACTTTATTCTATTTATATCCAATTCTATTTACCATTTACTATTATTATTGTTGTTGTTTTCTTATGAACATGATATACATATATGTATATGTATGTCTGTTAATAAATATTAAAGAATATATATATATATAATGATTACATGTAGTCTTCATTGAAAAAAAAGAAGAAAAGAAACTGTATTCTGGGTAATAAAAGTATACCTATACGTCTATATTTAAAATTAGCCCATTTTCTTCTGATCTAACATAATAAACCATTTTGATTGGATATAAACAACAGAAAGAATATGATTATTATTATTATTATTCTACTGTCCATCTATCATTAATTGGTCTTTATTAATTATAGAAGAAAATAATGTTCTACTCAATAATTCTAGTTCGCAATCTGAAGGAAATTATCAGTTCTACTTCATAGGATTCATACTTGAATGATTCACTGATTCAGTTAAAGAGTTTACCGTACATTTATTCACCTAGAAATCAACTTCTTCTAGGATACTGAATATATATTTATCATTAGTTAATGCTGAGGAGTCCCACAATAAGATGAAACGGCCGTCCAGTGCTTCCAGTTTTTCCATGGTGGTCTAGCTCCAACTGACTTATGATTTCAACTATATGTAATGTCAGTTTGTTTATTGATTCTGTTTAGAATAAATCAGAGGGAATTCTGCTGAATGAACTTATGTAAATTCTGATAAAAACCTTACTACAGACGAAATTATGTGATCGAGAAATATGACTTTGATTATTTCCCTAAACATGCTTGAAATACCATTCCTGTTGAATTATTCATTCCAATTTAAACAGATGTCCAGTTGTTTGTTACCGGAGCTGAGGGATCTGTAAGGCAGGAAACGGAAAATCAATTAACTCAGGATCAGTAAGACCATGTAGAATAACTTAAGTTCAAAGCTCAAACTGATGCTCAATTGACTTTTACAAATTTTACTGTATTCATTCTACTCTAAGTAAGAATAACTTAATTTTATAATCATATTCCATTATGTGTATCAAAAAATTATGCTGCATTCAAGTGATAAGCTAAATAACTAGGTGTAAATGTACCAAATAATTTGTATTGAAAAAATGACAGATGTTTTATTTGTGAGAAATTGAATGAATCTTATCTGCTTTGCATAGTAGAAATATATTGATAATAGTATAAGTTAAAGTAAAGTAGTTTTCTTTTCACTGTGTAAATTTAGGGGAGTTGTTCGAAATTTAGTAATTTCTTTCATTGTTTTATATTCTTCTGTACAGGATTAATGATTCACACAATTTGTCAGTGTTCATCAATTGATCATCTATTCGTTACAACGTTTGGCAAATTATTTACTTCACAATCTTTTACTACTGAACAATATTTAAGTAATACAGTGTATTACAGTCAATTATTTGATTTTACGAGTTAACTTTTGTCAATCATCACCTAAATATTATAATTTGATGGTTAATGAAATATCAGTTTTTCCCAAACAAGTGAACATAACTCAAAATTATGTAAATAATTCTGCTGCGATCAAAAGTTTTTTTTGAGGATTACGTTCAAAAGGGATATGAGGAATTCCAATAAAAAGCTATGATTAGTGAAATTTAGTCATGTATCGATTTTGAAATTTAATAAGGCTAATCAGTGTACAGTATATAAAATTAACTGAATTCGGTAATGCATGCCGCTGAAGTCTGATCAAATCTCTTAAAGTTGTAGTGCTGACTCCCCAACATTAATTGCTTGAATTCTATTCCAAATATGACAGTGAATTTGCACTGACGAAGGTTAGTAGTAGCTGGCCCTGTGTCAACCCTACATAGCTTATTCTAGCCTCTAGACAAGGATATCTATCCATTTTTCCCAATCCACAATTTTACCCTTTCACTTATTAGCTTGACTGTTTTTAAGCAAGCGTATGTGTATGCACTTTTGGTCTAACCATAAATATCGATTCACACTTATCTAAATCGAGTTGGCTCACACGCCTTCTCCACTGCTCACCATTCCATTTCGCTTTGTTCTCTTTGCTTCGTTTCTTTGACCGTCTGTCTGGATCAATGATTGCATGACATATTCGTATTCGAAATCCATTCGCATATTTGACCTATTTAATTCCATTATTCACTAATGCGATTTAAGTCGACGGTCATACACGAATATTGTTGACATGTATAACTCGATAACAACCGATTGTATAGTATAACTGGAGTCACGTATGGCCACTGAAGGTTCTGCATTAAAACAAAATATCGATTTAGTACTTTTTAGTATTAAACAATCCTTCAGTTGATTTTATCTTGTTACTAAACCTATTTCAAAATGCATAATCTCCTCAGATAAATTACCTTAATAAAAACATTTGATGACAGATAAGTGGACTTTGTCAATTTAATCAGGTTTCTAGATGGTACATCCCTAAAGAGAAATTACCCAAAAAAGAAACTGAGAATTCTGTACATAATTTGGAGTAAACACTAAATGGAAGTTCTTGTCAGATGAATTTTTCTGTACTACTAGCATATAATCGGTCACCAAAATTTTAAATACGCCAATTCTGTGCTTGACTGTACCCTCCAGAAAAATTAACCTACAAAAGTTGAGTTTTTATAAGTACATACATACTGGCTAAAATACATAAGCATTACTTAAGCATACTGTGAGAGAGATTTGAAATCACTTGCTGACACTTCAAGTTTTGGCTGTAAAATTGCTATAGTCTAACCTTTGTATCATTTATTAATGTTTTGTTGCTTTCATTATTACATGTTATGTGCTTGCTTAGTAGTAGAATCATGTTTACTTTCATCTTACACTTTTCCAGCTCTCCTCGTTACACTATCTAGCACGCTCCTTATCCAAAAGTGTGATTCCTGGATAATTATGAATGACTAAAAAGCTCCAAACTCTGGGGGAGGTTATTTATTAAGATTATGGTGAAATTAAGTGCTATTTATTATTTTTTTTGATATATAACGATACAATTGTCATTTTCCTTTTCTTTGGCCTGATGACCGAATACGAACAAACTAAATGAGAAAGTAAATCTTTGTAACTAAGTTAGATCTACATAGAACCCAGCACTAGAAGCAGCAGTAGCTCTATTAGAATGAAAATCATACTGGGAAAATAATGTAAAACATAGCATTAGAATAAAACAAACTCAGATCTTCATAAGACTTGTTTAGTCTGCATTGACTGAAATAAATCCAATCTCTTCACAGTTTTACCCTATTAGTCACGTATGGACCACCATTCAAGTCAGACGGAACTCTGTGAGCACGACTGAAAGTAATGTACTTGTTATTCAAATGGACAAAGTAATCATCAGCTAGTACAAATACGATACAAACATTTATCGATTATTTGTAAATCCACTGTCAATCAAACAAGGCCGTATTATAAAGACATATTTGTAGTGCACAGTTCTCTGTCAACCCATATGAGTTATTCTAGCTTCCGGACGGACCAGTTTATTCGTTCTTCTTGAATCATATTTTGATGTTGTCAATTATTTACATATTAACTCCAACTGTTTTTATATGAGCTAACCCTATTCATCACAGATCTTTGGCTGAATTTTGTCTGGCTAAGAATATTGAGTCATGCTTGATCAAAATGAATTGGCTCACTACTTCACTACAGTTTGTTTCGCATTCTCGCTTTTCACTTCGAATATTTGTCTGGAAAAACCAGCGTGTAGATGGGTGTCAAGTAGCGATTGACTATGATCACCACTATAATAAGATTACGCGGCTGATAACGACTTGGATCCCTCGACAGGCCGAAAAGCAGAAGGCTGTTATTGGTCCACACATCATTAATTGGCGATCTCGTAGTATCGAAAGAATACTGAGACGTGCCAAAGAGTACAAACAAAATGACAAAGCGTAAGAGAGTTTTCACGAACAAGATGGAGAACGGAGCGAAAAGTGTTTCCAGTACAGTTTTAACAAACAAGTCCAGTAAATCAATCACTGGTAAAATTGGTTATAATAATAATATACAGAATGAAATGGCAGATTTATGTTCGTAGCATAATCATACGTTTATCCAAATCGAAATTAGATCACCGGATCACAAAGTATTGAAAAGTCATTCATATTAATCAGAAATTAAACAGTGAGATGATAGTAATTCACTTGACGGTAGTATCCTTTTCCAAGTGGTGTAATTTTAGGTAAATGCGCAGTTTTATGGACCAAACACCAAAGATTTAGAAACCACAAACATGTAGCTTCTTTCAGTGTGCTTCAAATTCGAGTTTTTAAATGAAACCAATTGGGTCTTATTTCAAGTGGGATTGATAATGCCATTTTAAAACTGTATCTTGACAAGCTTAAAATGTTTTTGCCAGTCTTTGGACCTAAGTGGCTGAACTATCGTAAACATTAGGGCAGTTGATCACTATCGTTAGCACCAATACAACAGGAATAGAAGCAAAGGATTAATCACTTAGATATAATTCATATACAATACCAATGGAAAGTGAAATATCTGGCGGCAGAAAGTTAAGAAGACCGAAGAAAACAGGACGAGAGAAGAGAATGGTTGAAGTGGAAATAAAGAAACAGTGAACTCTAAGACGATTGGTTGACGTATGCAGAGGGAACAGTCAACTTAGAGACAACTGACTGACATTTTACGAACTAAGTATTTACTGTATGGTTCTCAGATTTTAATAAGATATGTAATTTTGTTTTCAAACACATTCGATTGCCCACATTTGTGTTCTCTTACACTGTATTTGGTGCCGTTGACAACCAAGGGGGGGAGGAAGGCTGTTGTTCTGCGGATGATGTAGCGGATCTGGGGCTAAGGTGCTAGTTGTAGCGGTCTGATGAGAGTAGGTGACGTCAAGTCGAGTATTCTCGCGGGGTGGTGTTACCCTCATATACAATATATTATTCTATCTTAATCCCAAATGTATTATTTTGTAGTGACATTGGACCCTTACTACATGGCCTTTGAAGAGTGCATATAATTACTGAAAAGTGTAGATCAGCAATGGAAAGGACGGGAGGGATTGGTCCAATTCAATAGGATGGCAAGTCTCACTACACACTATTATTACGTTTTTACCCGAAGTCACACACACACGTCAAAGACAGAGAGAAAATCAACGCACAACAGTACGTGTAAGCGTTTATGGTTTCCTAAAGCATAGACGGCAAATTTCACTAACAGAAAGAAACAATTGTTAAACTTTCGGCTTATCATGTTTAAAAAAGTCACATTTCCTTAACTCAAAGGCGAAATTTAATATGTTCATTAAAACAAAATCTCTGTTATATCATCAAAGCTCAGATCCGTAAAAACCATGCTAATTATACTAAGCAATGTTCGAATCGTTGAGGGAAGAGTTTGTAGTGGTGATCATAGTACAACTTGTTACAGTAATAATAATTGTTTCCGTTATTCCGATCGTGTTCTTATCGAGACTGGCCGGTCACTACAAGTTAAAAATTACATGGACCAGAAGATTTCCACATCGAAAGAGTTTAAATGAATCTGGAAGAAATAGAAGATGCTGTAGCTTTACGGGGTTCCACATTTAGTAGTAGTGGATCACTGATGCATCCAGATAGGAACCTAGATATATTAAGGATAAAAGAAGTTGGCAAAAGAATAATAAGGTACTATCCTTAGCCCTTAAGAATTTGTCAAGTTTTCTCTTAAAACAACTCCAGAGAATTTGCTTGGACTAGCTCAGCAGACAGCTGGTCCGTTCTGCTATGTTTTGACCCCAGTTTCTAAGCGTTGGCGTAATGTTTAAGAGTATTGGAATTATAGTATAAACTAGTAATCCCAGAAACAACGCAATTTAATGTAGAAGTATTAGATGAAGACGAACAAATGTATTGTATTTGGAATTCAAAATAAAACAGCCATCAATACAAATAAATCATTGGTCCACATAAACACCACATTTACCCCTAAAACAATGTAAGTTCTATTTGTTACTTATGTAGAATAAAACAACAGCTCGTGACAAAACAATAAGTGCTCTAAATCATTTTTCGTTAGACTGTAAATTAAAAGCATAGTTCTTCATCAATCTGAAACGTCTACACGTGTCATAATGCTTAAAACATATACTGTTGTTTAGATGTTATAGATAAGTTCTGTGTCTAGGCTTGTATTCCAAGCGCGGGTTATGAAATCTTTAAAGAATGGGTGGTTTCACACTCAGAAAGTCGGGATGTATACCACCAAAATTTATACGCTTGCCCAGCGGAAAAGTATTTGACTGCGGTCGCAAAGTACAGTTATATCTCACGTTATTTTCTACTCACAGGTGCTGGTACATAATATCTCAGATTTGCAGTATGTATGCTCTCGCTTAAACATCTCCGAAGATCAAAAGTTTTTCATTATTACTGAAGTAAGAACTATGTGCTTGGAATAATTTTTAGTATAATGGTGAAAAATCTCTCGTTCCTATTTTCTACCCCCATCACCTCAATGACCTTCACAACAGGACTTCAAAGTAATTGCTATCAAGTAATGTTTCTATTAGTAGACTTTTAATCGCATACTATTTATGCGAACAGTTTCACCTTAAATGTATTCAGCTAGACAATCCACAGGATTGTGCTGATATTAAGTTGGTCAGTGATGTCGTCATTGCAAGTAAGTACGTTGTTATTGTTCATATGTATCATCCATTTTCCTCAGTAACTATTTGGTTAGTGTTATCAAAGTACATCTTCACAGTACTTTATACTGCCTTTAAATTGCACAGACCATTTTTTGACAGTAAATAGCGAATTTATCAACCATATATAACCAAATGTACATTCCGCAAGACTATAATTTATGGACGAACCAGTTAGATTTACGATGACACGTCTTGAATTTTGGCTAAAAGCTGACTTATCTATTTGGCTAAATAGAGTATTGGCATTATATCTGATGTCAGTTCGTGATGAAAACCCTAAATCTAATTCCTGACCCTAACTATCAAGTGTAGATATTAATCCTAATTCCTCACACTGGTTTATAACCCTGATTTTGCCGTAGAGTGTGAGTGGACATTCCTCAGGTCTTTTTAGCGTCCCTCAAAGGTCGTTCATAAATTATAGTCTCACCGTAAATTCTCGTCCTAAATATCTTTAAAGTAAATGAACTGTTTGTATTTGTAAGAATCTGGATTTTACTGAGTGTATAGACTACTAAAATGCCCAATTTTTTATGGATTTCGTTTAAGTTATCTGAGAACCAGAGGCATTTATAACTCTAAATTTTGTTTCATAGTTTGCTACAAGGGATTTATGCATTAAGAGTATAATTAACTTTACATGATCAGTTAGACGGATGTCATATTCAGTTTTAACGCTGGTGTAGATGTAACGAATCCTGGTGATGAAAGTTGTGACAAATTTCTGTCAAATTGTTTGCAGGATTAGGAGTGTTAAGTGGTCCATTTTTAAAACAGGAGTGTAATTGAAGTTCTAATTGGTCTTTTCGAGGTCGTATGACGTCATGTCATGTGACAAATAATTTTTTAGCGCAAGTATCGTATCGTATTAGGTTAAATGTTTCTTTAATTGCTTTCCACATTGTAAATAACTTTATCAACGGCAATTTATTTTTTGCTCTAGATAAGAATCAGCTAAATACCAGTGAAGAAGACTCAAAAGCCCTGTAAGTATCCATTTCCTAAGTAAATATCGACATCCAATATTTATTCAATGATAGTGATTGGTTCGACATTCGAAACCTAAATACTAATGTTTTGACTCTTGAAATCAAAGGGGACGCAAAAATTGATCGACAATTGCTAAAAATGTTCCAGGGACTTTAGGTGACACCGAAGTTAAATGCTTTTGGGTGCGTTATGCTTCCTACCACTACTATAGAGCTCGCTTGTGGAAGTACCCGAAATTTTAGTGATTCTGAATTATACAGATAGTTATCTAACTTAACCAGGAGTTTGGTTAAAGGCAGTAATCAGTTGCTGGAATTGTTTCATATATTTGCGCTCCACCTAAAATGGCTAGCGAAAATTGCAAATAAATAAATACTTCGCAGTTATTTGGTTTGGCGTTTTCGACTTAGCTGTGATATTAGCTAAACTTTAGATGTAATACTACTAAAGGACATGGTCTAGTCGATAAGCTCGTAAAATTACAGTTTCTGCATTCATCCAGTACTCCACTGAACTTCGGGAAAAGCAAACGTGAAAACACCAGACAGTTTTGTAGCCCAAGGGTGAATTCATTCACCAGGTTAATCAGATTAGTGAATTCAAGTGCTTTCACTGAGTTTGAGTTATACAAACTACTCAGTTGCGTTTTGTGAAAACGCTCGAAATGGAAATTAATATATGTCCGGTTGTTTCATCTTCAGTAGATATTTAAATGCGCATGACTGGATGGAGCCCATCTTGGTTGCTTATGTGTAATCTATCTTCTAAACAGTACTTCTCAGTTTTATGTCGTATCAGTAGGACTGAAAACAAAGTGACCTCTAACGATAAACTTCTGAACAGTATGTGTAGCTTGATATTATTCTATTTTGCTAAAAAGATAGGATGTTATCCTATATTATCACTTTAATTATTTTTGCCAAGTTTTCATTTGTTCGAGATTATCTTCATTATTGGTTTTTGTTTAGATTGTTTGCAGTACATGAATATCTAATAACACAACCTACCTTGTTGCTAAAATGATTACAACCTCTGATTTATTTAAATATTTGATTTCTTTACCTAAACTCTAGTTTGTATCTTGGGTCTAGTACTGCACATTAGACATGTACGTGTTTATGTACTCATTTGTAACCTAAATGTTTTATGGGACGTGGTAATTCCACCTAGCCGTTAAATTCAAAGGAAGAAGAGATTTAAAACTTCTAACTCGGTCGATCGATTTTCCACTCTGTCATCGCTCTAAACATAGCGTCTGATCCATCAGTCAGTCAGTTACAACGTAGAACTTCGTACATATGTACATCAGTTTGAGTTGCCATACCACATTAGCACAGAGATGCAGTTGCCGATTCAAATCCCATAGTGGTAGAAGTAATAAGAGTTTAAGCAGTAATGCGAAAGATTAGGGTTTGAAGATGTTATTCAAGGAGTATAATCCAGCGAAATAAATTTGGAAAGAGAAAAAAGATAGGGACATGAGGAATTCAGAAGATTAAAATTTCGGAGAGCACAAAGTGGATGCACCCATACCATTGCAAACGATTTTGAGCCATGTTATTCAAGGTCTCTAACCATCGGTTGCTATCATCTCGCGAATCCCAACCAGGTAGTCTACACCTACCAACATGGCTCAGTCCAGTTGTCAGTGGATTCATGGATTTGTGCCACGTTTTGATCTGGCCTCCCCTAGTTTTCTTCCAACCTAATCCTACGCCATAAAACATTGCTCGTCGGGGCAGTCGGTGGCTGGATATGCGTAGCACGTGTCTCAGCCATCTCAACTGGCTGTGTGATCCATGGGCTAGGTGTATACTTTACGTTCTGTTCATTAGTATGGTTTATGGATAACTGTGTCCGTAATTTAGCCTCCATTGGTAGTAAAACCCATTTTAATTATGGTTACATTGCTTGGTTTACTACCGAGTCGTTTGATTCGGTGTACTGGCTATTTGGTCCTGGTCGTTCTCGATTAAATCTCCCACTACATATCAAAAAAATATTTAAGTTTTCGTTAGTTGGTTCCATCTTTTAGTGCGGTCTATGTTTTCTCAAAAATTCCTACCATTTGTTTATTGGTATCGGAGGAGCTTTTTACCTCTGTAACCATAATATGTATCAGTAAATTACGACCAAATATCCAATCGGCATGGACAGTTAGTTACCTATTTAGGTGACACAGTGAAACAAAACTAAATAACCAAGTCGTAACCCAAAAAGCGAAAAACAGATACATCTGTAAAAGATCACCAAACAAAAACCCCTTCCATAAGACCTATACTTCAATAAATAATTGTGGCTGGAACTAAGTGAGAAATTGTAACAGCATCATTCACCCAGTCGCTGTGATAAAATATAAAGCGTATGGGAGTGTGAATTCAAAAGTTGGGAAATGTTTTGTTATTTTGTAAAATCTGTTAATCTGTTAGACTCTCATCACTTTGAGTTGTTAAGCCACCATTAGTAAAAGGTTTAATGTACTGGTCATTGAAAATCGTGGTTCAAATTTGAGTATAAGAATTAGTTGGAAAGGACTTATCGTCCAAGTGGATTATTATAGTACTATTTATTTCTATGAACGGGATGGTCTAATTGTAAAGCTTTCATTACCATTATAGACAACATTAATGGAGCTTTTTAACATTATTTTACTAGTATCAAGTTCGGCAGTTCTAATAGCCATGTTTGTGGTTGGTTTTCTTCACAGGTTTCTTGTACATTTAGATTCCTGTTGATTGTTTTGTCTAATTTGACCACTGACTACGTGATTAAAGGTCTTGGATGATAAATTACATCTATATTTATATCATATAATTTTGTTTGAAAATAATCCTGCCTTGAGACCTGAAGACCATCAAAATACAGTCTGTAACCTGTTGAATTACATTATATATTGAAAGCAAATTGTAATTTCGGTTTAGTTTAAGTAGTCTCATGTTTTCCCTTTTTATGTAGAAATAATAATACGATTAACTGTTTTTCTTGATGATTATCTGGTAAGATTACTGTATATATTATTATTATTATTATTATTATTATTGTTTTAGAGAAGAGCTTTTAAATTCTGAAGAGTTGTTTACACGACTATTAAGTGTGCTTTTGAGTATTCCTGAGCTTACTACACAATGGGTACACGTGAAAGTAAGTGCGATAATTATTAATATGGATGTTTAAAATACATATCTGTACTATCCATTAATTCTCGAAAAAGCAGCATTTGAACTACTATATATTCAGAATTCAAAATATTAATCTAAAATGGTCATCCCTAGTAACAATATTTCGTATTATTATTATTATAAATATTATGCTTCGTTAAGTCTGATCTTGAGAAAAAAATCCCAAAAATAACTGACCTTAATCTTTGACACATTTTTGGTTCTTATTTTGCTTATTTTCTTGAAATAAATATTTGATAACTACTTCCGGAATACTGTTTGTTAGGATATGGGTATGAGCTCATCTTTACTATCCAACGCAGTTGTAGAAGCTGTGTTTTGATAATAATAATCATTCAGTCCTGTCAAACAAATAATTTCATCATTAATTTTTGTTTTGTTAGGTCCTTTTAACTGGATGGTTTAATTATCAGACTATTATCTTTCTAAACAAAATTATAAGCTCTTACTTAATGCATAAGTGAACTACTTCATTAATTCACAGGCGCCTGATGACCTTGCCCTTTAAACGGTAGTGACATTATCATCACTCTTAATAGTTGAGTATACTCAAACTTATGCTAGATTACTGACTTATGTTAAATTTAACTTTTAAATTATTCTTTACTCAATGCAATTATACTTGTACTATAATTACTCAACTATTCTTATTCTGATAATTAGCTAACAACATACAATTTAAACAAATATATCATTTTCGGTAATTTCTTATAATGTTTTCTTCAATAAAATCAAAATTATTTACAGAGAAATATTTAAAAATATTATTGTTAATGAAATAATTACAATAAAGATAAACGAACTGGTTAGTGTGGGGCCCCCAAATGCCCTGGTACGGCCGAGAGTGGGGAGAGTCACCTCTCCCTCTCGAAATGCTCTCACATGGCCACGCGAATATATAGCCTCTGCCAGGGAAGTCCTACTCACTGCCTTCTCGTGGCGGGGGTGTTGTTTACGAAAGTGAGAGGACGAAAAGCGAATGTCCGGCGCTTTAACCGGGTTGGTGGACACGGAGGGTCCACCTAGGGGAGTTGGAAAACCCTGATTCCAAACCAATGGTTCACATGGGCTCCAGTATCCTGATGGAACGAATGGCGGACGAACCTGTCATTGGTCAACGACTACCATGGGACTGCATCTCCTCACGATGCTCCACTGCCTTGTGGATCAGACATTCAGGTCAAAGGCTCCGGGTGTGGCCCCCGTAAGAAAACCACCTGCTTCAGTCTGGGCACCTGGGCAGTATCACAGCCCTCACACAAATCGAATGAGATTTGTTAGGCGCATATTTATCTGGTGCTTCATTGTACCAATATTTATGTGTTTAAATAATAATAATAATAGTGGGGGTTAATATATACGGTAATAATGACAACAATAAACAAAAATCATGTATGCGTTCATTGTTATCATTTCATAAGTTATGCTTAATGCTACATAGTAATCTTGTTGTATAGAATTTAAACAACAAAATAGATGGATCAATAATAATCTATGCTATTAAGTCATAGAATACGAAATTTTTTTTATTAACACAAGTAATAACAATAATACTGTGAAACAAAATAGAAGTAAGATTGACACTTATCTCTTGAAGGTCATTTGACAAAGGTAAAAGTTGTAGAAATTTTATCTAGCAACTGTGAAAGTTTCATTTTCAATTTATGTGATGATTAAAAATCATAGTTTTTGTGTTATTTGATAGTTAATCATATCCTTCCAGTGATACTATAAAATACATGATAAAAAGTAATATCTTATATGGAGTCAGAGAATATTCTACTGGTAATCTTGTTGTTGTTGCTATTACTTCGGCAATTATATTCGTTGGGATAATATTATATAAAGGAAATAAATAAAAAAGGCAATTTAAAAACTCCTGTATATAAAGAATGTACCTAGAGAAAGTTGTTTCTTCTTTTTTAATGAATATTAACAACAATCATTTAATAGTCAATTAGTTGTGCTTGATCTTATAAAATCGTTCTTATCTTCATAATAAGGATTATGCATAGAATGAAAAAAAGTATTATTTCTGTCTTGTATAAGTTTTAATTAAGCACTTACATATTACAAGTCATCATCTAGATTTATTGTAATTACTCAGTGCTGTATTTCTTTATTAAAAAAAAAATTTTTCTTTTCTAATACGAAAATATATAGTATCATTGCTATGCATTGAAGATAGTTATAATGTACCCATGTTTAATCGAAATCACTTTCGTCTACAATGTCTTAAAAATATTGCTCGCATCTGCTGGGATCACCGGTTAAGTAATAGTGAAGTTAGACACAGGGTATTAGGGAATGATGATAAATCAGTTGATGAGGTCATGAATCTTCATCGACTGAGATGGTTGGGCCACGTGTTATGTATGCTTGAACACCGATTGCCACGACGCGCTATGCTGACTAGTATTGGCGATAGTTGTAAAAATGTTAGGGGCGGTCAAAACAAAACGTGGCATCAGTGCTTGAAGTCACTAACTTCTAGTCTGTGCCATGTTGGCAGATGCAGACTACTTGGTTGGGGTCCGTGTGACTATCTTAACCAATGGTTGGAGACTCTAGGTGACATGGCTCACAATCGATCACAATGGCGCAGGTGTATACACTCTTTATCTTCCTTTAAACATTGAGATTCAAATTGCTTCATATCTGTCTTTCTTCCTGTACTATCTCCTCATATACAATCTTTCTTTTATATATTACCACCACTAAATTAACTACTTCTACGAATTCGGTGTTCATCTTGTTATGCTAACGAGGTATGGCAAATTGGACCGGTGCATATGTGTGCCTGATCGTACATTGTAGCTGACAATGTAAAAATGGTTATATGAAATGCGATTAATCTAACATCATGAGGAAGGAACAACTCATTTCTCATAGTAGTTTAATGCCAGTTTCGAGAAATCATGAAAATGTATTCAAGTCAGGGTGATATTATTATGGATGTTTTTCTCCTAAAATCGTATTTTGCATAAAAATCATTCAAGTCTATATCACACCGAACAGAAGTGAACATTGTAGGATCTGACATAATTAAGCTTAGGTCTTAGAGGTTACGATTAATATCACTAGATTGAGAGTGAAAATTAACAAGATGCATAGCTAAACTGTGGATGGGAATTAGAAACAAGTCACGTAAACGGGTAAAATGAGAAATGTGGAATAATGCATTGTTCAAGACTTGAATAAATAAGACTCGGCCATCAAAACCGGCTTTTAGGCATGTTACCTAGTTGATTGAACAGTAAGGCGTATTTTCCTCTCTCTGATCTTAACTATTCCGTACGACCAAGGTTTAAGTTTGGTAATCTTATATGGAGTGGTGATACCATGTCTCAATTTGGTTATAATTCAGCATCATTAAGCGTTTTTCAATCTACAACAGTCCTAGGCAAACCATTCTTATGTGTAACTTAGTTTGATAAATTTAAGGAACCGCTAGATATTCGCTTATGCAGCTGTAATTTTTCCAGCTGTCTAACAATTTTTCACAAATTGTAGTTTACTGAAAAAGGAGACTATTGCAACTAATTCTAGAATTTCTTCATTAATTAATGGGGGTTAAGCTAACGATTCGAGAATTAAAAGAATTATTTTCATATTAGAATGCATTATGAAGTTAATTTTAAACTCTTGCTATCACATAATTTATAGGATATTCACGTTTATCATATTGTTATGTATTCGATTAACTAAAAATTTACATATCTAATTAGAAATATTTCGGTTCGTTTTTGTGATAAGTTGAAGATGTTTCTAGTATTTTTGATTTTGATTGGATATTTCTCTGGACTCTTATTATCGATTCAACCGATATTTTTTAGTGAACTGGGTTAGATGCAAATGGTTAGGATCAATAATAAAAGAAAAAAACGACAGAATCATATCTTTTCGCCTTTTTAAAAAATCTTCTGTTCTTCCGTTTCCTAAAGTGATGAATTGTCAGTTTCTTTGTTGATTAGCTTTTCTATAATCTATCTCAATTACAAAAAATGAATGGAACATAAGACTATATACTTTGTTTTAGTCAATATAAAACAGCTGCTTATCAAAAAGATGAGATCAAAGTGTGCAGCAATCTTTATTGTTTAGGAAGTTAACAACTGAATTAAAAACACTAATCTAAATCAACTGCCAACTCTACTCCGATTGTTGATCTGAGCTGAAATAAAAGTGATTTGAAGAAAGGCCAATGATATTCATGCTAAAAAATTGTATCAGTCCATTAAGTTACTTACTGATTATGGATTTTAGTCTTGTAGGAAGTTAATCATTGTACGATGATTCGATCGACAAGAATTTATAGTTGGGGATCATAAGTGTATATATTTCCCATGTTCTAAAAAATAGAAGTGTTCTTAGAAGAAAACTTCTATGTACTTAGGTTACGAATACTTGGGTAGAAATGTCACTTTCAACGCTTTGAACCATTGGTTCAACATAATTCGTTTCTGCAATTGGATAATTTGATTGAAATCTTGGTACAAATTGATACTTAGTTACTTACTTATGTAAAAAACATGGGCCCCGAAAGGCCCTGGTACGGCAGAGGGTGGGGAGAGTCAGCTCTCCCTCTCGAAATGCTCTCACATGGCCACGCGTATACAGTCACTTCCAGGGAAGTCCTACTCTGCCTTCTCGCGGCAAAGGTGTTGTTTACGAAATTGAGAGGATGAAAAGCGAATCACTGGAGCTTTAACCGAGTCGGTGGACACGGAAAGTCCACCTAGGGAAGTTGAGAAACCCTCATTCCAAACCAATGGTGCACATGGGCTCCAGTATCCTGAGGGAACAAATGGCATATGAATCAATTATTGGTCACCGGTTACCATGGGACTGCATCTCCTAATGTTGCCACACTGCCTTGTGGATCAGACCTTTAGATCGAAGGCTCCGAGTGTGGCCCCCTAAGAAGACCACCTGCTTCGGTCTGGGCACCCGTGCAGTATT